GTGGGCTGCGCCCCCTGCGCTCACCTGCAGGACGGCCTTGCCCTTGTCCTTGCTGCAGCTGCGGAGGGAAGGGCAGGGGCAGCGGCGGGCAGTGGGGGCTGCCCCGCGCGGCCCCCCCGGTGCCGGTGCCGGTTCCGGCCCATGGGGTCCCGGCCTGCGCTCACCTCTGCCGCTCCAGGCACAGCGAGACGTGCTCGTCGTAGCGGAAGTAGTGGGCGCGCGAGTGGTCGAAGGTGCTGTAGGGCAGCCCCATGGGGTCCCCCCCGACCGGGTCTGCGCAGCAGCGGGGTGGGGAGTCAGCATGCGCCCCCCAGCCTGGACAGGCTCAGAGCGGCCCCCTCCAGCCCCCCCCCGCCCCGCGCACCCTCGCTGCTGGGCTGCGTCACCCGGTCCAGGCCGCGGGACTGGTAGAACTCACGGATCCTCTTCTCCTCGCCTGCGGGCAGAGAGCGGGGTGAGGGACCCCTGGGACCCTGCCAGGGGCCTAGCGGGGTGATGGACCCCCCAAACCTCCCCGGGGCCGTCGCTGAACCCGCCTGCATCCTCCCTTGGGACATGGGAACCAGCCCCTCTCGGCACCCCCTGTCAGTCCCCACTTTTCCAAGGAGCCAACGATTCCATCACTGGATTTGTAGCGGCCGCTCCAAGTGTGGTCCCGGCTCTGGGGACGTTCCCGCGCAGCCGCTCCTGCCTCAGGCTCCGGTTCCAGGAATCAGAGCCCCACGGCAATCGGGGCCAGCGGGGGGGCTGCGCGGGGTAACGTCCCCTCCCTCGCCCAGCGGGGCCCCCGCCGCCCCCCCGGCCTCGGGAGCCGCGTCCCGCCAGGGCCACTCACTCTCCTGCAGGCCGGGCACCAGCTTGTAGACGATGTCCTGCATGACGCGGTCCAGCTTGAGGTTGAGCAGCGGCTGCGTCTCGTGGATCTTGGTGTTGCACATGGGGCAGTACTTGCTGGTCTGCAGGTACTTGACGATGCAGCTCTTGCAGACTGCGCGAGACGGGCGGTTGCGGCGGGTCCCGGGGTGCCGTCCCGCGCGCCGCGGCCGCCCCCGCGCGGCCACTCACACGTGTGCAGGCACTCGGTGATGGTGGTGGCGTCGATGAAGTAGCCGGCGCAGAGGCAGCACACGATGTGCTCGTTCAGCTCCTTCATCTTCACCTTCACCTCCTCCTGCGGGGCAGGCGCCGTCATGGCACCGGGGCCAGGGCAGCCCTAGGGCTGGGGGGCGTGGGGGGCCGTGGGGGGCCCCGCCGTGGGGCACGTGCAGGCAGGCACACAAGGGAGCCCCACACGTGTCACCGAGTGGAGCGAGGGCAGCCCCGCTGCGCCAAGCACCCATCCCCACACCTGTACGGGGCGCCTATGTCCCGTACGTACGTGTTGCACCCAGCCCACCCCCTGCACCTATACATTGCACCTGGTCCCATCCCATGTACCTGCACACTGCACTTATGCCTGGATCCCTTGCACCTACACATTGCACCTGGCCCTGAGCCCTGTACATGTGCATTGCACTTGGTCCCACAACACATACCTGTGCATTGCACCTATACATTGCACCTGGTCCCACCGCTGCACCTGTACATTGCACTTATGCCCTGCACCTATACATTGCCTCTATGCCTGGATCCCCTGCACCTATACATTGCACATGGACCCACTCCTATACATGGTACCTGGCCCTGCCCCACATACCTGTGTATTGCACCTCACCCCACCTCTGCACCTAGACATTGCACCTGGCCGCAAGCCCAGTACCTGTGCACTGCATCCACGCCGGGTTCCCCTGCACCTATACATTGCACCTGGCCCCAAGCCCTATACCTGCGCATTGCACCTATGCCCGGATCCCCTGGATTTGTGCTTTGCTCCCAGCCCCGCCCCCTCTTTTGGCACTGCCCCATCACACCTGTGCATGGCACCTATGCCCCGCCCCCTGCACATCACACCTGTGTCCACCCCGCCCCTGGCCCCGCCCACACGTAACCCTTTGCCCAACCTGGCCCCGCCCCCTACACCTGGCCCCGCCCCTCTCGACCCTGCCGGCTGCACGTGGCACCTCTCCTGGCCCCGCCCACCCATGGTTGGCCCCGCCCTCCCTCCGGCCACGCCCCCTGCCTCGCCCGCGCGGCACGGCGTGGCACGCGGAGGGGCGGGCTCGCGCATGCGCGCGGGAGAGCGCGCCACGGCGCCTGCGCGGCTCGCGCGCCCCCGAGCGGCGGGCGCCGGTGCCCTCTTCCGCCCACGCATGCGCGGCCGCCTGGCGCCGCCGGCGGGGCACGGCCGCTCACCTCGTTCCGCAGCGGGTCCATCTTGTAGACGGCCTGGAGCTGGTTCCGCAGCCGCATGGCGATCGCCATCGGGCCCCCCTGAGGAGGCGACGCCATCTTAGAACCTCCTCCGCCTCCACGCTCACTTCCGGGTTCGGGGCGGGGCCTGCCGCCGTCACCGCCCGCGACTACACCTCCCGGCGTGCCCCGCGGCCCAGGGCGCGGCGCATGCCGGGAGCGCGCAGGGGCCCCGCCCCCTGTCGGCCGCGGCGGGGAGCGCAGTCGTGGGGGGGGCCCCGTCCCATGGGGGCGCCCTGCGCCCGGGGATCACGTGATCTCCGCCCCCGCCCTTCCCACTCCCCTGGGTGTCGGGCGGGAGCCCCTCGGCGCGAGCCAATGGCGCTTAGCGCTCTCCTGACGGACAGCCGTCGCGGCCAATCGGAGCGGCCGCCGTCACGCGCTGCTCCGCCGCCAGGGGGCAGCCGAGCGCCGCGGGGAGCGGAGCCGGAGCCGGGGGGGGACACGACCTGGGTGCCACATGGGGGCGGGAGGGACACCCGAGTGCCCGGGCAGCCCGCGGGGGCTCCCCCCGACAGGGTCCCTCCCGCTGCCCCCCGGGGGGCCCTGCGGCTGGGGGCGCGTGCGGCACCCCCCGCCCCGCGTGGCCGGCACTGCCGCCGCTGCGGCCGTGCTGGGCGGGGACAGGGGGCGCAGGGCCGCTGGATACCGGGGGTGCCGGGTGGATGGGTGCCAGAACACAGGGGGTGCAGGGTGCATAGCTGGGGGGTGCTGGGTGCAGGATGGTGGGGGTGGATGGGGTGCAGGGTGCATAGGTGGGGTGCTGGGCGGCAGGAAGCATGGCTAGGGGTGCTGGGTGCAAGGGGTGCAGGGAGTTGGGGGTGCTGGGGGTGTAGGGTGCATGCCTGTGGTATAGGGGGCAGGGGGGCAGCGATGCAGGGCGGGTAGGAGTGCAGGGTGCATGGCTGGGAGGCAGGGGGTGCAGGATGCATGCTCGTGGTGCAGGGGACAAGGGTGCAGGGTGAGTAGGGGGGCAGGGTGGGTAGGGGTGCAGGGTGCTGGATGCAGGGTGCTGGGTGCAGGGTGCATGGCAGGGGTGCAGGGGTGCGGGCCGTACGGGGCCGGCGGGAGCCGGGCGGGCGGCGGCGCCGCATCCCAGCGCGGCGCTAATGGGGCGGCTGGCGCGGGGCTGCGGGGGGGCGGCGGCGCTAATGCGGAGCGGGCCGCGCAGGGCCCTAATGGCTCGTTACGGCCGCGATGATCGCTCCAATCCCCGGCAGCAAGTGCCGCCTGGGGAGCGCGCGGGGCCGCCCCCCCGGGCTGCGCGGATCGCGCCCCGACAGGAAGGGGCCGACCAGGGCCGGGAGCACAAGATGGAGGGAGGGAAGGAGAGAGCAGCTCCGCTCTCCGCCCCGCCCGCCGCATCTCCGCGGCCGCCCGAGCGCGCCCTCGGGGCTGCACGGAGCGGCGCGGGGCTGCACGGAGCGGCGCGGGGCTGCACGGAGCGGCGCGGGGCCGGGGCAGCCTGCGGGGGGACCGGCCGCTGCCAGACCCGGCAGCCACCCCCCAGCACCGGCTCCAGCGCTGGCACCGGCTCCGGCACTGACGGCACCTGCAGCAGCTGCCTCCTCCCCATCGGCTCCAATTCGGACACCCGCACCGGCTCTGACACGAACCAGCTCCAGCACCTGCCCTGGCTCCAGCAGCGGCTCCAACAGCAGCTCTGGCTCTGGCACATCTGGTGCTGCTGGACGGACCGAGCACGTGGGGCAGCCCAGGGGCTCCGCGGGGCTCTGCCCCCATCGGCGCCAAAGGAGCAGCCTGGCGCTTCGGAGCGGTGCTGGGCTCTGCTCCCACGGGCGGGCACACACCAGCAGAGAGGGGACCAGGGGGGACCCAGCCCCGTTCCCCAGCTCGGCTGCTCACGGCAGCCCCTCTGGGTGCTGCTCCGTCCACCTGAGCCCTGGTCCTGGGCATCTGCTCCTCCAGGTCAGCCCAGCTCGCCCAGGTGACGGGACCGGGGCAGCCGGGCGGCCGAGGCAGTCACTGGCTTGTGGCCCCCTGCATGGTGTGACCCTGGGCAGGATGTCGGGGCCCTGGCACCGGGGCAGCCTGTGCGAGGCCCGGCCGCGAGGGGGAGGCCCCCGTAACCCTCCCCGCCGAGGGCTGCCCGGCCCTGGCGCCGTGAGCGATGCGGGGGGCCGGGCGCCCGCCCGCGAGGCCGGCCCGTTTGAACCTGCCGGCAGCGGTTCCGGGGAGGGCGGCGCGGCCAGGGCCGGCGGGTCACAGCCCGGCCAGCGCGGCCCTGGGGCAGGCAGCATCGCTCACTGCCAGAGCCGCGCGGCGCCGTGGCCGGCACCAGCAGCACAGCCAGCGCCAGCGGTGACACCGAACCCAGTGCCCGGCACTGGTACTGAACCCAGTGCCCAGCAGTGGCACCGAACCCAGTGCCCAGCACTGGTACTGAACCCAGTGCCCAGCAGTGGCACCGAACCCAGTGCCCAGCACTGGTACTGAACCCAGTGCCCAGCAGTGGCACCGAACCCAGCACTAGCTGTGGTGCCGAACCCAGCGCCCAGCACTGGTACAAACCCAGCACTGCACCCAGCACCAAGACAGCAGTGCGCAGTGCCCGCCGCTCAGCAAGCACTGGGCACCAGCAGCACTGAGCTCTGGAGCTGTGGCGCGAACCATTGCTGGCGCTGCAGCAAGCACAGCGTGCACCTGCAGCCTGCCATGCACACTCTGCACCTGTGTGTTTGCACATCTGTGTTGCACACCCTGCACCTACATCCTTGCATGCTTGTCCCATGCACTCACCTTTGGGTACCTGCCGTGCACACACTGCACACACAGCCTCGCATGCCTGCTGTGCACAGCCTGCACCTACACCCTAGCATTGCTGGCCATGCCCGCCCTGTGCTCTCGCCCTTGGGTACCTGCCGTGCCCGCCCTGCACACTCAGCCTCCCCGCCCCAGCCGCTCCGCGGATGTCTCGGACAGGGTGCAGCCAGCGGATGCTCTGTTCACTCCAGGACAGGCACGAGTCTGCAGCGGGGCCGGGCCCTATCCCATCCCACACTCCAGTGCCGCTCCCGGAGTGCCCCACGTGCGTGGACCCGGCCATGCCGCATCCCCTGCCCACACGAGCAGCCGTGCACGGTGCCCACGCACCCCAGGTGCTCCCGCCTGCCCGCGGTACACGTGTTGCTCCCTCGTGCATGGGCACAGCCACAGCAATGACACCAAGCTCCCCATCCCCGCTCCCGCCCAGCCCGGCACAGCAGCACCGGGATCTGGGGGTGCTCCAGGGTCCCAGCCAGGGGGCAAGCGGCCCCAGGCCTGCCCGGGCTCGGATCCTGGCCCGGGAGCTGCGCAGGCAGCTCCATCTCCCATAAATAATTGATGCCCGGGCGGGCGCCAGCGCTTCTCAGCGCTGCGGGGCTGGGCAGGCCGGGGCTTTTAGCCGAGACCTGCTCAAATATTCAGCTCCATTTCCGCCGTGCGGCAGAGCGGGGCCTGGGCGGCTCCTTCTGGTAAGCGCCTGCGGCGGCTTTCCCGGCCCCGGCCCTGCGGTGCAGCCTGCCCCGTGCCGGGAGCCCGCGCTGAGGCCCAGCGCGCTCGTCACAGCAGCGGGGGCTGCGGGGGGTGCCCCTCGCTGCAGCCCCTGCTCGCGGGCAGCCGGGGCTGGCGGTTATGGACTGGACTCCCTGCCTAATGCACCTGATTGGATTTGCAGAATGCAATTAGCTGCCCTCGGCCTTTGATAACGAGGTTCTGAGCGACGGCTTCTGTCAGCGGCCCCGCGGCAGCCGAGGCCGCGGCTCCCGCCGGCACCACTGGGCCGGTGCAGCTCCCTGTCCCGTAGCCAAGCGCCCGCCGCGCATCTGCCCGGACAGAGCTGCCCGCGGCACCGGGAAAGGGTGGCCTCGGTGCCCGGCCAGGCCTGCCGTGCCCAGAGCCTGCGGTGCCGGCAGTCTGAACCGGGTGTCACCCTGAACCAGGGTCCCTTGGGCCCACAGGGCTCCCGGCCACCTCCCCGCACCCGGAGCTATGGGGGACACAGGCCAGGGCTCTGCAAGGGGCTCAAACTGCGCGTGCAGCGAGCGCCGCTCTGCACCCTGCAGACCCGACCTGCGTGGGGGCCTCTGCACCGGCTGCAGTCGCAGCTCGTGGCCGGTTCTCCTTGCTGCTCGTAGCCAGAGCCACGGCAGCCCCATGTCCCCAGCCCCGCGTCCCCAACCCCGCGTCCCCAGCCCCGCAGCTCCTCCCCTGCGCCTACCACCAGCCCAGCAGCCACCAGACACGGCGGCGCTGCTGACGTCTGCCCACGGCGTCACCGGCCGTCGGGCCCCGGGGAGCGGCCGTCGGGGCTGGACTCGCTGCTCTGCCGGGGATAGAGCAGCCTGCGCCAGCGGGCAGGGTGCACAGCAGGGCCTGCGTGTCCTGGCCTGGGTGCCTGCCTGCATCCTGCAGCCCTGCCTCCCCACACCCCTGCACCCAGCGCCCCTTCCTCCCCACCTCCCCGCACCCAGTGTCCCTTCTTCCCCACATCCCCACACCCGCTGCCCCTGCCTCCCCACATCCCTGCACGCACTGCCCCTGCCTCCCCACATCCCTGCAGCCCTTCATGCCCACATTCCCCATCCCCAAATATGTGCCTGCCCACATCCCCTTACCCCTGTCTCCCCTCATCCCCGCCCCCTTGCATCTCCAAATTCCTGCATGACAGATCCTTGCATCCCTGCATCCCCACACCCCTTCCTTCTGGCATCCCCTAATCCCTGCATGACCCCATCCCTCTAGGCCTGCATTGTCCAAACCACATCCCCGCATCCCACATCCCTACATCCCTGCGTCCCCTGTAGCCACATCCTTGCATGCCTGCAGCCCTGCATGCCCACACGCCCCTCATCCCGGCATCCCAGCCGCCGTTCCTGGGCTGTGCCCCGCAGCGCCGGCCGGGGCCGCTCCGGTGCAGCGCTCGGTGGCCGCTGCGCCCGCCGGCGGCCGCCCCGTCACCCCGCGCACCCTGCCCGGGTGCCAGCGCCCGCCCCGGGGCCGGCGGGTGCGGGGTACCGGGAGTGTTTCATGCAGTTAAGAAGTGTCTGATTGAGGCAGGAGGCGCCAGCAGCTCCCCCGGGAGCCGCAAGTCAAGGACTGGAGGACCAAATGCAGGCTAAAGTAATCCAATCTGGGCTGCCTTCATCTAATTAGCCCAGAATTAACCCAGCAGCCAGAGAGGAGCTGACTGTCCCTACAGTTTGCCAGCGGGTTTGGGGGGAAGTGGGAGGAAGAAGGGGACGTCCAGCAATAATGAGATTAGGGGGGGAGTGGGCGGGAGCGGCAGCCTCTCGCCGGGGCAGCGTGGGGCCCTGCGAGGCCGCGCGGAGCGGCCGGCACGCCGGGACGTCGGCGCACGGGGGACCGGGCCCCACAGCTGCTGCTGGCCAGGGGCACCGCGGCCCCGGCCCCGCAGGTCTGCTGCCCAGAGCCGGGCCTCGCTGCAGCCTCAAGCTCCAGTCATGCCGCAAGGCCAGAGGCCGATTCCCTGCCTGGAATCAGGGTGAAGCTCTGTGCGTCCTTGCCCCCGGCCTCCAGGTCAGGTGAGGAGCCCTGTGTGGTGCAGATGCTCTGCTCAGCGTGGGGTTGTGTCGCTTGCACCCACAGGGAGCCCTGGTCCCGCTTGGTGGCAGGAGCCCTTCCTGAGGACAGGGCACTATGAGTGTGGCCAGGGCGCCGCGGGCTCTGCATTGCCCCGCACTGTGTCCGTGCATCTGTCCGGTCCTCGGGGCATCCCAGCCCCGTTGCTCGTGGGGCGTTAGGGCGTCTCCTCCCTGGCACCAGCCCTCGGCTGCAGGGGCGCAGGGAGACACTGCAGCCTGGCCGTGGTTCCACGCGGGTCCCCGGCTGGACGGGCCCATGCAAGGGTGATCCCCAGCGCTGGGTGCAGGGTGCTGGGCAGCACGTGGGCTCCCCGTGTGCTCGCAGCTCTGAGGAGCTGCCCTCGTGCCGGGTGCTGCTCCAGTTTGGTGCCTGGCTGCGAGCGCAGCCAGTGCTTCCTGGCCCTGCGACTCTACCCTTGCCTGCCAGCCCAGGTTCTTGGGGTGCAGCGGGGGCCCCACGCCGCCCCCCTGAAGCAGGCAGCCTCGGCAGAGCCCCCCGGGCGCGGGCCAGCCCCAGAGCCTCGCGCCCGCCCTGCCCCTGTCACCCACCCGCCGATCCATCTCCCGGCTCCACGCAGCATTCCAGCCCTTGGGCACTTCCAAACATCTGCCTCCTCCTCCAGGTCTAATTAACCTGCGGGGCCGGGCCCTCCCCCCTGTGCAAGGCATTTCCTCCCAGACCCCCACGCTGGCCCAGGGCGGGCGCCATGGGGCTGGTCAGTGCCAGCCCCTGCACACGGAGCTGCTCTCTGCCGGCCCCGAGCCCCCAGGCCTGGCTGCGCCCCAAGCTGCCCCCATCCCGGAGCCTGGCTTCCCTCTGGCTGCTTCTGGGGCTGGAACAACCCGGCCTCCTCCCGGCTGGAGCTGTCTGGGCTCCTTGGGGCTGGGGCAACAGGCTCGGAGTCTCCCAGCACTCGCTCCACCAGGCCTGGAGCGAGAGGAGCTGGAAAACGGTTGGAGCTCCAGGTGGCCGGGCTGCTGGGAAGGGCAGGGCCCTGGACGAGGCAGCTGCACGGATGCTGTTGTGGGTCCTTGTGCCTTCCCCTGTTGCAGCGTGTGCTCCCACACTCCCGCTCGGGAGCATCTGAGCCTGACAAGGGGCCACAGGCATAGTCAACACAGTGGATATGTGGGGGCCGTGTGGAGCAGCTGTGCACCCAGCCTGGGTGTTGGGAGTGTGGGGGAGCACACATCGCTCAGAGAGCTGTGCTGCACCTGTGGGGCACGCTCTGCATTTGCACAAGTGCATCAGGTAGATGCAGCTGGCAAGCTCTGTGATGAGGTGGTGTGCACAGTGCACATGGGTCCACGTTGCCTGTGCAAGGTGTGTGTGCAGAGGTGTGGGTGTGCATGGCTGTGCTGCACACAGGCTGCATGCTGTTTGCATGTGGCTGTGCTAGGCAATGCATGTGCAACAGTGAGTGCACCCCATGTGCAAGTGCAGCCATGCAGTGCTGGGGCACGTGTGTGTGCATGCATGCAGGTGTGCATGCACATATGCATGTGCCTGCAGGTGTGAGTTTGTGCCTGCATGTGTACATGCTTGCATTTGTACATGATGTGTGTGTGTACACGGTATGATTATGTCCACAGCTGTGCAGCACCCTGCTTTTTGTGCATGTGCCTGTGTGTTTGTAGATGGGCTGTGCTAGAGGGGTGCAGCTCCTCTCACATGGGGATGCAGTCCCTCTCATATGGGATGAGTGTGTGCTCAGTGCAGGGTGGTGCTGTTGCCCAAGTCCCTGTAGCGCCTCCAGCACGAGGCCGGCCAGCGGGGTCCCACGAACCCGGTGCTGGCCGCGTGCCCGCGGCCCCGGGGCGGGCAGGTGCCCGGGGGCAGCAGCTGCGGCTCGGGTGCCGTGGTGATTTACAGGCACAGGCCCCGGTAATGTCATTTGCCCCAGACCAGTGGCGCCAGGGCGGCCGGGCGGCCACCGCCCCCGCCGGCCCCTGCCCGGAGATGTGACCTCGCCGCCCTTGCCCTGAACCGCCGCCGGCCCCGGGCCCCGGGAGCCCGGGAGCCCGGGACCGACCCCTGCGGAGGGCACCGCACGGGCACGCGGGGGCCGGACCCGCCGCCCTGCGCCTAGTCCCCACACTCTGGACGCGCCACTCGCGACAGTCGTCGTCGGTGCCGGGAGCCCGATCCGCCCTCCCTTGCCCTCCGTAACTACGGCCGCTCGGGGACCCGGTCGGAGCGGCGTCGCCGGGGCAGAGCCCTCACGAACCGGAACCGACGGACCCCGCATGCCCCAGGACTGCAGCGTCCGTGGAACCGGCCTCGCTCCGCCGCGCAGCCCGGTAAGAGCAGCGGGAGGGCCCGGGGCTCCAGTAATGTCGGTCAGGGGGGACTGCGGAGCTTGTCCTTGGCAGCGGCCGAACCGGGGGGACCGGAGAGAAGCGTAGTCTGCGCCCGCGGGGACAGTGGTCAAAAGCAACAGCAGTGCGAGCCGCCGGGAACGGCGGATCGGGGGAACCGGGACTGTGTCGGGGTCGCGGTTCCGTGCTCGCAGGAGAGGCAGATCCCGGCGGTTGCGGTCCATTTGCCCCATGAACCGCGGACCGGGGCAGGGCGGAGCCCGAGCGCTCCGGTAACGACGTCTGCGGGGAGCCGAGCCTGCGTCTGCGGCAGAGACGGACGCGATCCCACTACGAGCGCCGGGAAGGGCAGAGCGGGGCCGCTCCCTCGGTCGGATAACGGCGGAGAGGAGCGGGATTCATGGCATCGGAGCCGTCGCCGCTTCGCCGGCCAGGAGCGACGGGGCAGCTCCGTGTCCGGCCGGCGAGCGGCGGCTCCGGGCGCGTCGCTGCGGCTCCGCTCTGCGCGCCGAGCGCCCCGACGACGGCAACTTACGGCAGGCGGCACCGCCGCCTCGCCCGGCCCGCCCCCGCACCGGCCCAGCTCCGGTCCCGGCCGGACTCGGCCGCTTTATCGGCTCCGGTCCGCGCCGCTTTACGGCTGTTCCGAGCGCAGGGGCGCGATCAGCCGCTCCCGAGGCGGCGGCGGCCCGCGGCGGTGGCCTCGGCTCTCCGCAGGCTGGAGGGCGGCGGAGCCCCGGGCCGGGCGGCGCCCCTGGAGCGGCGGCGGAGCCGCTTCAAGGGAGCCCAGCTCCCCTGCGGCCCGAGCCGAGCGCC